ATTTAAAATTTTATATGAATTAAATAAATATTCATTGAATATAAGTAAAAATAGTAATTATGGTTTTTTTTGTAACGAACTGTATCTTTAATATTTAATATATGAACTTAATATTTCAATAAAAATGACATGCTGTATACTGTAAAATAGTGATTTTACCTTCATTCGGATTACACTTTTGGAACCTAAATATTTGAATATATTTAAATCAATCGAAACAACATTTTGATCGAATATACAAATAAAAGTAAAATAAATGAATTAAAGAATCCAATTTTACTTTCGTTTTGTACAAAACGACATTTTAATCCAGATCAATATCAATAAAAATTCAGTAGTCATATGCTAAAGCTGCATGCAAAAAATAGTTATTATGTACTGTACGTATATCGATATTTTTTTATGAAATATAAAGAAAATTATGTTTAAGATAAAAAATTTACCTTGACTACCGTTCTTTCATCTGATTCTACGAAAACGAAAACTTTCCCCCGTTTATTTGATTCTTTCGACACATTTTCAACAGTACGCTTGTTGTTCGATTTATAAACTTTGAAATCCAATTTTTATTAATAGTATACGATATTTTAAAACCGTTATTGTCAATGAAAAAAAATACATACCTGGTATGGTTAATTTTTTTGAACTTAAATTTAAATTTTCTGTGTCTTTTCCATTGTTCTCAATATCAATATCAAATTCCCGAGTGACATACGCTGACAAGTAAAGTAAAAATAATAATATAAGTTAAAATTATAATTATTTAATAATTACTGTTACAGCGGTGGACTAATTAATTAATTTCACCTTCATTGGTACATATCGATATAAACTGACGCTTGTTGATTTGGCTTCGATTTTCAAAAATAGTGATTTACCTTATTTGGAACATAAAAATGTTTGATAGATTTAAATCAACATAACTATAAATGTCATCTTGACTGAATATAAAAATAAATGCTCGTACCTCCATCAGTTCAGTTTGGATTGATATTAATTTTGAAGTAAAGATTCGACTGGTGTAAATTGCATTTGAATGGATTTGTTGTTTTTTGTTTATATTTGTAGGAATGCTTTTTTGTAATTTCATCTCTTTATCGAGTTCTTTTAGTTTCTGTTTATCTATTCTCAAAAACTCTTTAATTTCATAATGCTTTGGACATTCTAAAGAGTAAGTGTTGCAATATTGCTTCGGAAGCTCTTGAATTTCATCATGCGTTTTAGGATATTCTAAAGAGTAAGTGTTGTAATATTGAAAATGCAAAGTACCCAGTTTCCACTTATCTTCATCGTCATATTGATAAAGTCGCAAAGTTCATCAGCAGTTGGTCTGTTTTTTGGAATAGGATCCCAACATTTTTCAATAATAAATTTGCAACATCCGGGAATATAATCTGGTATCATATCATAGGTCTTGCTCATTTGTAGATATCATATACAAGATAATGATCATGACATATATTCAACGTTGGTAAATCTCTCAAAAGGAAATATTCACTTTGGTTGAATTCTTTTATTAGATTGGAAATATTTTTATCCCCGCTAGATAATTCATCATTATAAATTCGTTTGTGATATTTGAAACAGTCATCGCAGGAATAATAATTTCCTTGACAAACGCAACATTTACTACAATCATGAGTATTGTGAACTAAACACTCCTCTCAGTATCTACTCTTTCATTACAATGATGAGTACTTGATTCTATCTGTGAGTTCATTTTATATTTGTGACGTTCACCATAGAATGCATAAGTCATTACTATCAAATAATCAATTGTAATTGGGTTTTTAGTCATTTCATAATATGCTATCAAGTTGTAGCATTTTAAGCTCAGTCTGAATCTATTATTGAAAAAATTGATCGAAATAGAAAAAGGCAATTTTCAATACACTTTAGAAATGTTCACTTTTTACCTCGTCTATAAATTCTTGTGAATTTGCTTTGAATTGTGTAATAATTTCAACATAACTTTTGCTTTTCCTTTTCGTTTAAATTTATTTTCTTCATGATTCCACATGGATGAGTAAACATTATTATCCAATAATGATCCATCAAACCAGATTGCTTTATAAATTGACCCAAAATTTCCTTTTTCATGATATTCAACGTTAGTAAACCTTTCAAAAGAAACCCACTCGAATATATTTTTATATTTATAACTAATTTTGTTGCATTCTTTTATTAGATTGTCAATATCTTTATCTCTGCTAGACAATTCATCGTTATAAATTCGTTTGTGGTATTTGAAACAATCATGCAATTCCATCAATTTTTTGAAACTGGATTTTGAGTTATTCCATAATCAATAATATCGTCGACATCTTCATGATCCCAATACTCACATTTTATTGGTCCATCCAGATTGCTTTATAAATTGAACCAAAACCTCCTTTTGCAAGATATTCAATGTTGGTAAATCTTTTAAAAGGAATTCATTCGAATATAATTTCATATTCATAATTAATTTTGCTGCATTCTTTTATTAGATTGTCACTATCTTTATCTCCGCTAGACCATTCGTAATAAATTCGTTTATGATATATGAAAACATGGAAAACAATAAATCATTTTTTGACAAAGGAAACATGAAGTACAATCATGGGTATTGTGAGCTGAAAACTCATCGCAGTATTACCTTGACAATCAGTTACATTCATTACAATGATGAGTATTCGATTCTATCTTAAGTTCACTTTTATATCGATAGTGTCAACGTTTATCGTTATCTTACACTCGGTTTTGGATTCCCAAACTTGTGTGTACATATTGATCGACACTATAGGAATAACTTTTTAGAGAATGTTACACAATTTCAAAGATTTTTTGTAACACATACATGTACAAAGTGAATGATCTATTTTTCATTCGTAGTTGGGTTTTAGTTGCTCCGTAATATCCAGAACGGATTATTACTTTTTTTTCACGTCCAACATGTAACGAAGTGCATATAAGAGCAGCCTGAATCTATTTTGAAAATTTGTTTGTATTAGAAAACAAAAAGCAACCTTACATTTTAGAAACTCCTTTTTTTACCTTATTTATAAACGCTTGAGTAATTTTCTTTGAATGTTTTTAAAACAACTTCAATTTTTCCATTTCGCTCAAATTTATTTTCTTCATGATCCATTTGGAATTGTGTTATATTGGACCATCTAACCAGGCTGCTTTATAAATTGTCCCAAACCTCCTTCTGCAAGATATTCAACGTTGAAATCTTTCCAAGGGAATCCATTCGAATAATTTTTTAATTTTGTTACATTTTTCTATTAAATTGTTGATATTTTTATCTCCGCTAGACAATTCATCGTTATAAATTTGTGTGTGCTAATAGGAACATTCTTCGCAGTGCTTCTTTTTTTTTAATACTTAGTACATGTACATGTATTGCTAGTTCATGCACTTTTAACATGTACATGTATATGCAATTACAAAAACTTTAGACCACGTCGGATCATGTGATTCCGACCTGATACTGATCCGTGCCGAATCCTCCTGCGGAATTGATGAACAGTGCGAACCATAAATATCTGACCCCTCTAATCTCGACAAAAATTACATGTAGTACAAAACAGGCACGTTTTTTTAGAACAGTAAACTTTTATTGTACACCGGCATCCGAATGCAAGATATCGCATTCCATGTACATATACTATCGTTATGGAATAACTAAGGTTCCGAACAGTTCGGTTCGCTTCGCTTCTGGTTCTAAGAAAAACCGAATCGAAAATTTCGGTTAGTTTCAGTTCTGAACCAAAAATACATTTTCGGTTTCGGTTCAGAACCGAAATCTTATAATCGAATGCAACAAAATCAATAAATAAAATAAATTATTCGAATGGATTTCTTTTGAAAGATTTACAAAGCTGAATATCCTGCAAAAGGAGTTTTGGGTTAAATTATAAAGCAACCTTGTTGGATGATCCATAGGATTACGTATGGGATCATGAAGAAAATAATGAAAACGAAGAGGAGAAAGAAAAGTTGTGTTGTAATCATTGCGCGATTCAAAGCAAATTACTCCAAAATTTATAGACGAGATAAAAATGAGCATCCTCTAAAGTGAAGGTTTGCTTAATTATTTGATACAATTAAATTTTTAAAAATTGATTCAAACATCTCTTAAATGCCCTAGTTATGAATAACTAAAAGCCCAGTTACAAATGATGTGGTTCAAATTGTATCGCCGATATTTGAAAAATGTTCGGATCACAATACTCATTGTAGTAAACGCATACATATGATCTATACAACTTCTAATTAATGTACATAAATAGATTGAGATCCTTATTGGTTTAGAGTCATATGCATTCACTCGCTTTAGCGCATCCAGCTTTAAGGTATTCCTCTATCAAAACACCTTTTTTATATATCAACAACACATGACAAGTCAAGACTTTGCAAAGTGTCAGCTCGCATAGCATTTAGCCTTTTTGTTTCTTCCATTGTGTCCGAAGTTTTTGCGCAATTTTATTAAACGATAGGTAAAAACATTTTATACAATGAATGATATTTAAGTGAAATGATGAATTATTGAAAAATAAATTCGCTTAAACTTATTATACAGTACAGTAGTTCAGGTCAACTAGATGTAGAAAAAAAAGGAAATTCGTTTAAACTCATTACATATTAGTCAGGGTCAACTAGGTGTAATTATTGCGATGAGATTAAGGGATGATAAAGTCCCCTTAACTTTTCAGAAGACGAAATATTTCTTGTGATCGTTTAGGGAAAATTTTGGTCGCAATTCCGTCCATCATCATCACAGCAAGAACATGAGCATGTTTGAGTATTCTGATTAAAGATGCATACCTCGGTCCCTGTAATAAGTAGTTTCATTTTTTAAAAATTTTATAAATTATATTCGCCGAAAATACTTGTAATTGAATGCTAATTACCTTTATCGCAAAAAGGTGCTGGATTAGGACAACCTGCAGCATTGACAGATGGTAAAGAACCGGCAAAGAATGTAATAGCGATCAATAGGATAATTATTTTTGAATTCATTGTTGTTTTTGTTGAACTTTGGAGGAGGATCTAGACGCCTTTTTATAATTGAGTAGGCTTCATTCAACTAATTTGCTAATGTTACAGTTAATTTCGGTATGGATAGATTTCATAATCTTTTTGAAGTCCGAAGGTCTCATTTAAGAGGCATTGCCGCATTCATCATAAAAGTCGAAATCAGCAAGATTATTTCCCTGATAAGGAAGTCAAATAAAGTATCAAACACCCCGTAAATTTATTATGAGTTTGGGGGGGAATTAACCTATTTCTCGCGATGATCTCTACGTCCGAGATACTAAAATTGCGATATTCCTTATCATCTTGTTTGTATTTATTTTTATCTTGCACTCTCTCCTAATAGATAAATTGTCGAAATTCCCCTTTAATTTTGCGGAGTACACTGCGTGGGAACGAGTTTTGAATTTTTCTGTACTGAAATTAAATTAATCGGAAATGGAAATATCTCCGAAAATTTCATAGGTTCTAGCTGAAAATGAACAAATTTTTAAAGATTAGTGTGATTGGTCAATTTGTTGAATTACGCAATATAAACGGCTATAGTTAATAAATATATATGTAAAAATTATTTTCTCTTAGTGATACTAGAGTTTTAAGAATAAAATTGATAAAAAACATAATCCAATTATATGAATCAATTTGAATATCGCTCATTTACCACCAAAATTAGAGAAATTCAAAAATATGAGAATTTTGTAAATTTGATGAAGAGAAATTAAGAGATAAAGAATATTCCTCAAAAAAAAGGAAAGAGCAATTGATAAAACGATTCATATTAAGAGGAATGATATTAAGAAATTTTAAGATTTCCAGTTCGCCCTAAGTTTTCGTCATGGCATATTTAACTTCTATTTAAATAACTAAAGATGGCTGCCAAAATTATTTTTGAAAACTGAAATATCTCAGTTTTTTAATCAAAAACTGAATTAAACCAAATTGTTGAATTAAATTTGCTAAAGTAAAATTAAATATACAATCAAAGTTGAACTGAACTCGAGCTAAACTCATTCATTTTTGGTTTGCAAAAACGACACAGAATAACTTTTTATTATTTTGCTTTAATGTACAAATTGACTCAATCAAAAAATCTTAAAGAAGAGCCATGACATAACTTCCATTTATACAGTGTAATTGATTTCTATGTTTCGATTATTTATAACAGCAGATGATTAAGAAATATCTTCAATTCTCAATATTAAAAACACGTTTTAATTACCAATATCGAGATCCAATTCAGTAATCGCTACGCTAGATATTGATGCTGATACTGTATTTTTAAAATACATTGTGGTTTTATTTTATTTGGAACGCACAAACTGACATTTGTAGAATAAAGTTTTTATTAATATGAAATATTAGTTTGATCGAATATAAAATAAATAATGTAAATAACATTATTTAAATTAAATTGGATGCAAAGATTCGACTGATATAAACTGCATTTAATGAATTTTATTCGTAGAAATGTTATTCTTTAATATTTCACTTCCTCATTAAGTTCTTTTAAATTATAGCTTTATTTTTAAATTTCTTCATATGTTTTAAAACTGTAATACTGGAAATATAAAGCGTTTAGTTTTAATAAAGTTGATTGAGTTGATAAAATGTCAAATTAGTTGGTCTGTTTTCTGGAATCAGACGCCAACATTTTTCATCACAAATTGCAACTATTCGAGAAAGTATTTGGTTTCCTAGGCCGTATTCCTTTATAGATGTCGCATACAAGATATATATATCATGGCTTTTGCTCATTAAATGTATTTCACCCGTTGTTTTCTCGTATATAAGCATCTCAAAATTATAAATAATTGCAGTTTAGAGAATATTATTCACCTCTGGACTTTATCCCTTAAACCATACATTTTAGCAGGAAAATTTGCCCACCTAATAATTGAGAAAAATTATCTCCTGCAAAAAATTTTTTATAAAAGAGATAACTTAAATTGATTAGGGTAATTCCCAGAAGTATAGGACATAGAACACGTGGTAACTCTGCAATCACCTCGTGATATTTCTATGTGACTCAAAAAAATGTATAAAATTTGAGTTATGTGGAATTTGCTACATTCTGAATACCAAGCTTATAAAAATTCTTGGTAATTTAGTTTTGTATACTTCATATCATAACAAACAAAAATTATTATGTAATATGAGTACTTATTCATAATAAAATTTTGAATTATCATGATAGTTAGGTTGGCTAAATTAGTATTTTTATTTAAAATTAATTTAAGATTTTTTTAATCAAACCATTTATTTTAAAGTATGAAAACCAATGTCAAAAGTGAAATATACTCTTCATTATCTGCATACACGTCTGTATTTTCAAGAGAAAATGAACTTAAGGTTAAACTTGAAGATAATGCATTTGGTCTAGTTAAAGAGGACATAATCCTAAAATTTCAGAAGTTATTTTTGAAGGGTGGGAATTTAGATTTTTATTAGAAGAACTGTGAGAAGGGAATCATGGATGATTGATAATATAACACAGTCAGAGATTTGCATAAGAAAGGGGAGCATATGCTTATGAAAATTTTTTGTAGTTATAAAAAACTGATCAAAAATAATTTAAGCAGGCAAATTTGCCTGCTTAACAGTTTAAGAGATAAAAGAATTATGCCATAAATTCTCAAATCTATTGAAATTAACTGGGCTGATAAGTTCAAGATCAGTAATATATTACCCGGAGTGAAAAGCTCAAATTTCTCCGCATGAATATTGCTCAGAGTTTGGATGTGAGGTATAAATTTCTTTTCCAAGCTAATTTTTCGTAGATAGAATAAATATATAGTCAGACTCCTCTAAATGCATACCGTCGTTGACCATATTCATTTAGATGAGTTTGCATAAAATATGCATTTAGAGACTAACTCCAGTTATATGCCACTATGTATTTAGAGAAGTCTGACTGCATTTTGTAAAGATTTCCATTTTTTGCATATTCGACTACATGTTCAATGGACAGACTTAACACAATGAGAGACTAGACTGAAGGGTAGGAGGGTTATTTAATTGGATTTCTAAAGGAATTGTGTCAACAAATACTGTTACTGCTGATGATAATGGTAAATCTTTATTATGCTTTTTGAAAAATTATGTCATATGTATATAAGGAAGATTATTTATAATTTAATGGAAATATTTATAATATTTATTATAACAATAAGATCCACGAGTGAAGTTTCTCAAAGTCACGAGATAAATTATCAATCAAGATTTCGTAATGGCTTTTGGCATTAACACGGTTGACATAGTATACAAAGAAAATTAATCGGAGATATAACAACAAAAAACTGGCTGGCTTCCTTCTGGTAAAAGTAATAAACCGAAGTTATCAATAAAACAAAGGTAATTCTTCTATATTGTTTGATTTCAACTTGTTCTTGACTAAGTTCAACAGCATGCCTATATACACATTTTAGTCTATGTTTTAGCTAAAGGCTATATTATAGACCGTTCTATTTACAGAATGGACAATTAAATGTACCAAATGATCAAAATACTGTACAAAATGGGCAAAACAATGTACCAAATGTTCTAAATAATAATGTTTGAAGATAGTTATTATTAATTATGATCTGGTGCAAAAGATCGATACAATTAATAATTGTTTCTAATAAAAATCATTCAAATTTTAACTAATCTTTATAATTTTTATATTAAATAAAAAATTATTTATATTAACTTTTTATACTATTTTAATTATTCTATTATACTTTAATTTAATAATAAATGAAGCATTACTTTACTAAAAAAATGACATTTTAAATATTATCACTATCTATTTGCAATATTAGAACTTTAAATTATACAAACAGATTGCTCTAGATTTGATAAATATATGTTTTAAATTTCATAAAAATTGAATCAGTATTATAAAGATATTAAGATTCAAAGTTTAGTAATTAAATTATTTACTATATAATTTTTATATTAATTTTAATCAAATTTTATATAATAAATTCTAAGAAATAATAATGCAAAAAAGTTTGTTATTAGTGAAATTTTTTTTATAAAATATAATAAAAATTTTTATATTTAAATAAATCTCAATATGTAAAAGAAAGTTTTCTTATTATTATAATATGAAAAAAAGATTTATCAATAATATATACTCATACTACTAGTTCATTTCCTTTTATAAATCAACTTGATTAGTCAATCATATCATAAGATCATATATAAAGAATAATTCAAACAAAAACATTTTTAAAAATAGCTAAATCTTGAAATTTTATTTAAGAAATAATTTTTACTGTTCTAATAAAAATTTTCTTGTGAAAGTTTACTTATATTTGTCTTACTTTTACTATTATAGATGATATTTTAACTGAGTTAAAAGTAGAAATTAATTATTAATAATATATTAGAATTATCATTTATAATATTAAAAAAATTTTAAAATAAACAGATTTATTATAAATCTTTTAATAAAAAAAGTATTCTAATATATATAAAGCAAAAGATTTAAAAACTATCAAATTAATATTATAATAAGTCTATCTAGAAAGAATAAAAAAAGCAAAATTATTACAAATATTTTCTATTTTTGTATATTCATAATTATTAATATATTACTTTATTTAAATCTACTAATATAAAATCTTTATGCTTAATTATTTTTATAGTTTTTTCAATTATCTAAACTAAAGATGGCTTCTCAATTATTGCAATGTGGTGACAAATAAAACATCATCTAGTTGTAACTAGTTGTAACTTATAAAATTTTGGAGTTGCAACATATTACAACAGATGACAAATAAGTATCACATACTTGTTACACTATCTTTAATCTGGACAAATATTAATATTATTTAAACAGTTATAATATTTATTTATTTCACAAATATTATTAAAATAATTATTATTCTTGAAATAAAATAAGCTAATATCATACTGTTCTATTCTATTCTTCAAATAGTTATAATTATACATGATCTTTTTCAGTATAATTTTCTATCTCACTCTTAGCTATACAAAAA